AATTTGGTGAACGCGCACCGGGTGAGAATAGCCACAAGACTCGCCTGCACTATTCTCACTCCGGGTGAGAATAGAGGTGGCCTTTATTAAAATAAAATTAAGTCCCACTTACCATCCTACTGAAAGTCATTTTTAACTCTTTTCCACCCATGCAGTGTGCAGAGCGAACACACAATCCCCACGGACCAGGATGCAGATCACATGCGATGTACATCAATACTACACCTGTATCTTGGCAAAAATACCCCAACCTATTTTTTAAAAAATTTCAGCGTCTGAGAAAATTATAAGTGATGATCGCATGTTCATCAAAAAAGGAATTAGAATCGGAACTGAAAACATTGGATCTAGATCAAGCTCATTCATCACCCAAATTCTCATCATGGCGTAGTAAGAGTAGGCAGAATAGAGGTCTACTCACTTTTTAAAAAAAATTTACAGTCGTTGTACAAAGTGATTCCCAACCTCTAAGGCCACACACACCTTCCAGAGAGAAAATTTCCCAAAAATATAACAAGTGCCCTAAAACGAGATCATTGTTTTTGTTGCTATTATATCACACTGTCGAGGATCAGAGCCCCTGAGGACAAAGTGTTTGTACAATTAATGATTAAAACGTTAACTTATTCAGTGTGTGAGTAAGGCAAAAATTAGTGATCAGCGATCAGTGGAATATTAGGCCTAGTAAATTGTAGAGGCCTTGAAGATTATTTAACAGAAACTTGACCATTACTTTCAATTTTTATCTTGTCTCAGTCTGGAGACTCAAAATAATCAAAAACACAGGAAAAATTGTGGACAGGTACCAAGATAAACTATTCACTGTCAGACATTTTTTTTTTATATCACACGTTTTGATTGGATAAAAATAGAATATTTAATTGATATAATGTTAAACTTAATCAATAGAGCACACGGTAGATCTATAGCCTTTTGGTGTGCATATTTATGTGATGTTGGCAGTTCGTCACATTCTTGGTCAAAATGTTGTAAAATTGGCGGCTCAGAAATTTCACAGAAAAGAACGGACAAATCTAGATGAATGTTTGTGACGGATGCATCTTGGTATTGTTTCTTTGGATGGGTTGCCAGTAGACAGGCCTACTGCTTTCTTGAGACTCCTTTTGATGTTGATGAATTGTGTGTTTGGTTGCTTTATATAGAACCTTGTGTGTTCCCAGACCAGCATTTAATATTCCTACCTCTGTCTATTCGCAATTATTTTTTTTTGATTGCCCAGATGAAACCTTTTATCTGGAAAAGCATTTTTCCCCAATATTTGATTTTTAAAAATATTCTTTTAAAAAGTGATTTGCCTAGGTGTAGAGGTGACTTGCATTGACAATGATGGTTCAAAACTTTATGGCTCAAACTTGCCACAACCAAACAGATCCATAGACAGGGTCGTCTTATTCTGAAGATGGAATTCAAAGAAAGGATTGAGAATCATCGTTCAAAATTGGAGCAAAATGTGGATGTGGAGAAGTTGTACCCTCTGCTGCAGCAGGATAAGGCCATCACCAAGGAGGAGATTGCTCAGATCGAAACTCTCCCAACAAAGCAAGCCAAAGTTGGCAAACTGTTGGACGTCCTTCTGTCCAAGGACAGCTCGGCGTTGCAGAGCTTCTACCTGGTGCTGCAGAAGATGTACCAGCACATCCTCACTGCCATGTTCATCCAGCCGCAGTTTTCTTCTGCTCGGAGCACCCAGCAAGGTGAGCTCACCTCGTCTGAGAGGATCTGATGGTCCTTACCATGTTGTCCAGTGTCTAGTCGTGTTTGTGTTGTGTGCATCTGTGTGAGTGAGTGTGTTGAAGAGTGCGTGTTATAGATTTACCATACAGTATCAGCAAATGTGTCACGTCGCAGTAGAATCAGATGCTCGTAAATTTTTGGGCCCATATGAGGTTATTGACATCATCTTAAAGCTTGTTCATTTGCCTTGCTTTTGGTGAATAAAAATACCCCTATGTTGAATAGAAGTCGAAATATATTTTTGTGAATGGAGGTGGTTGTCACCTGGTTTCAAAGGTAAAATTAGTGAGAATATGGCTGCCAAAGATGAGTTATATATTTCCTTAGCTTGAGAGTCTGTGGAAACTGAAAATTTGCCTTTTTTGGTGCCTTTAATAAATAGGGTTTTTTCAGTGAAATCCACACAGAAATGTGTTCTTGTATGGGCATGAAAGGTGTTGACTGTGTTATTGTTTAGTGTCACTTACAAACTCTTCTAAGTGGGTGGTTGATGGGTGCTCTGTTGTGATTTGCTCCTTTTCCTATCCAACAGCTTTTCATCCTTCCTTTCCTCCTTTTCTTTGTGTATGTTAGTCTCTTTTATATAAAACCAATCTGATTTTTGGACATATATATATTTATTATAATGACTTTTATTTTTGTGTTACAAACGCCATAAAATGCTTGCTAAAACTGAAACTCCTTAAAGGTGTGAGAGGTGTGTAGAAGATGTGTGACTGTACAGGGCCGGGGTTTGGCGTCCTGTGTGGAGCAGGAGGTTTGTGATAGTTACATCACAAGATGGGAGTGACGGAAGATACGGCCGCGACAATCACCTGTACAAACAGCCACTTCCCATTACGGCCGCGACAATCACCTGT